CAGCCTCAACCTCCTGGGTTCGGGTAATCCTTCAGCCTCAACCACCTGAGCAGCTGGGACTACAGGCACATGACACCACACCCAGTTAATTAAAAAAAAAAATTTTGTAGACACGAGGCCTCACTCTGTTGCCCAGGCTGGTCTCGAACTCCTGGGCCCAAGCAATTCTCTCAACTCGGCCTCCCAAAGTGCTGAGATTCCAGGCATGAGCACCGTGCCCAACCTAAAAATGAAAAAACTATTCTTAACTCACATGTTGTACAGAAACAGGCCGTGGGCTGAGTTTGACCAATGGGTTTTATTTTGCTGGCCCATGCTACAGTAGACACTCAATAATTGCTGGTTCCCTTCACTGGTAAAAACAGTAGGTTGTGGACAAGGCTGGAAATTGTTACTTCTGAGGGGAGTAGAGGACTTGTAGCTTTGGGATTTTTTTCCCTTTTCAAAAGGCATGTTCTCTTTTTAATAAAATGCCTTCTTCTTTTTTTTTGAACTAGAAAAATTGAGAACTGTTGTTCCTGACAAGAATTCCTACAAATCTTGTAATTTTTTAAAAGCTTGTCAAATGTATATGTTTAGCAAGTTGGCATTTGATGCACTGAATAAGATCTGGAATATCCTGAGAGTCTTAGTTATGATTGGGTTGAGTTGCAAAATGTTTGGCTTTATACATTTTTAAAAATTTTTTATTTTTTTATACATTTTTTGTCAGAGTGAAATTTTAATTTTGGCCACTGTATCTTGACTCTACTATTATTTAAGTGCTGTATCTTGACTCTACTGTTATTTAAGTGCTGTACTAATTTTTCTCCTTAGCTATAAAGCCAGTTCGTTATTTAAATTATTCTTCTTGCAAGCTTCAGTTGGGTATTAAGCCAAACTAAAAACCCAATCATAAACTTTGTTTGAAGAAGGAAATCAGAAAGTGAATTTAGAAGTTACCCTGTGGTTTGGGACTGGGCACGGAAGCTCGTGCCTTAATCCCAACACTTTGGGAGGCTAAGGTGTGAAGACTGCTTGAGCCCGGGAGTTTGAGACCAGCCTGGACAACACAGCGAGACCTCATCTCCACAAAAAGACAACAACAACAACAACAAAAAAAAAACCCAGAAAAATTAGCCAGGCAAAGTGGTGTGCACTTGTAGTCCCAGCTACTCAGGAAGCTGAGGCAGAAGGATCATCTGAGTCTAAGAGGTTAAGACTGTGGTGAACTGTGATCATGCTACTGCACTCCAGTCTAGGCAACGGAGTGAGACCCCAACTCAAAAAAAAAATTACTCTGTGTTTTGGATCCCAGAAGTAAGAAATGCTTGATGCTACTGAGAAAGAGATGAGAATGGAAGAATCTTTTTGCCAGTGTCTTAGTCTCTTTGTGCTGCTATAACAAATACCACAGACGGTAGTTTATAAAAACAAATTTTCTTTGAACATGTGTCCTGGGGCGGGGGAGAGACAGAAATTTATTTTCTCACAGTTCTGGAGGCTGGAAATCGAAGACCAAGACACCACCACTTGGTGTCTGGTGAGAGCTGAATCCTTGGGAGGGGAGGAATGCTGTGTCCTCACATGGCAGAAGGCGAAAGGACAAGCTCACATAACACTGCCTGAAGTCTTTTTAGGAAGGACTTTAAGCTGGGCACAGTGTCTCATGCCTGTAATCTCAGCACTTTGGGAGGTGGAGGCAAGAGGATTGCCTGAGCCCAGGGGTTTGACCCCAGCTTGGGCAACATGGCGAGACCTCGTCTCTACAATAAAAAAAAATTAGCCGGGCATGGTGGTGCATGCCTGTAGTTCCAGCTACTTGGAAGGCCGAGATGGAAGGATCACTTGAGCCCAGCAGGTCGAGACTGTGGTGGCCGTGAATGTGCCACTTGCACTCCAACCTGGACAAAAGAGTGAGACTCCGACTCAAAAAAAAAAAGAAAGTAGAAAAAGTACTTTAGTCCTATTCACAAAGGAGGAGTCCTCATGGCCAAATCAACTCGTAACAGGCGCCACCTCTTAATACTTTTACATTGGCAACACCTGAATTTTTGGCAGGGACACATCCAAACCATAGCAGCCAGTTATAAAATTATAGTAAAAGTTGCCAGGCGTGGTAGCTCACGCCTGTAATCCCAGCACTTTGGAAGGCCAAGGCGAGAGGATTGCCTGAGTCCAGGGGTTCGAGACCAGTCTGGGCAACTTGGCAAGACCTGATCTCTACAATAAATCAAAAAACTAGCTGGGCATGGTGGCTCATGCCTGTAGTTCCAACTGCTTGGAAGACTGAGGCAGAAGGATTGCCTGAATCCAGTGGGCTGAGGCTGCAGTGGCTGTGAACATGTCACTGCATTCCAGCCTGGGTGACAGATTGAGTCTACAACTCAAAAAAAAAAAAAGTATAGGAAGAGTCTGAAATTGATTTGTGTTGCAAGTCGGATTCTATTACAAAGCAGTCTCAGACACCAATTTTTGTTATCTTATTGTTATTCTGGAATTATGTTAGACTGAATAATAATCATAATCAGTGAAGGCTAATAATTAAGCCTTGGAAATTTGGTGTTACAGAAATTCTGTTGTTAAATATTTATTGAGTAGCTTTTGTATGCAAGGTAGGAAGCTGTGTGCTGCGGATGTTGTGAAAATCTCCAAAACCAGTTGTTTACCGTTGAGGGGCATATGGTCCGGTTGTAAACTATGACATCTGTACATTCAGTCTTCTTGCGTTGATCTTTCAGCAGATGGTCCCAAATGGTAGGGACCAAATGCTTAACCAATTCTGTGACACTTGAAAGGACAGATTGTTTTTGGAGTTCTCAGAGTGTCTTAAAATTGGGAGATTTGAACCAAACCTGGAAGATCAAACGGATTGGCTCAGCAAAGATGGGGGTTGACTGCGAACAAGGTGGGTTCGTGGGTGAAATGACCAGGCTTAAAGGAGGGAGAGCAGGCCCAGTACAGACTGCAGAGAGTGTCCCCTAACAGAGGCGTGGGAGAGAAACGGTTCTCAGTAGGCTGCAGCCAGACTGGCCGGAGGGTGTTGGGCAGTAAAACTGAGAAAGTTTGATTTTATCCCAAAAGCAATGTGGTACATAGTACAGGGGACTTCCACAAGGAGAACATGAGTTATTATCTATAATTAGTAAAAAAGATTGGAAAAGTGAAGAAAAATAAAGACTTCCCCATTATCTTACTTTCTAGAAACATCTGTTAATGTTTTCAGATGTTTCCTCTTACTATTTTCTTTGTGTTTTAAAATGCATGCATATTTTTATTATACAGTAATATATATATTTCTTATTTTTATTTTAATTTAATTTAATTTTTTTATTTTTTGAGTTGGAGTCTCACTCTGTCGCCCAGACTGGAGTGCAGTGGCACGCTCCCGGCCACCACAGCCTCGACCTGCTGGACTCCGGCGATCCTCCTGCCTCAGCCTTCCAAGTAGCTGGAACTATAGGCGCGCTCCCACGCTCGGCTAATTATTTTTTTTTTTTAATTTATTGTAGAGATGAAGTCTCGCCAAGGTGCCCAGGCAGATCTCGAACCTGCGGGCTCAGGCAATTCACTCACCTCGGCCTCCCAAAGCACAGGATTATAGGCTGAGCCACTGGGCCCAGCCTATATTTCTTTTTTAAAAAGAGTGGTTTATTACAGAAAACAAATAATCTGTTAGAATTTTGATGTAATTCCTTTCTATGTGTGTTTTTTGGGGGCTGTTTGTTTGTTTCTTGAGTAGGAGTCTCACTCTGTTGCCCAGGCTGGAGTGCAGTGGCACACTCATGGCCATGATGAACTCGAGTGATCCTTCTGCCTTAGCCTTCCAACTAGCTGGAACTACAGGGATTTGCCACCACAACCGACTAATTTTGTGATTTATTGTAGAAATGAGGTCTCGCCAAGTTGCCCAGGCTGATCTCGAACCCCTAGATTCAGGCAATCCTCTCAACCCCGGCCTCCCAAAATGCTGGGATTACAGGAGTGAACCACTGTGCCCAGCCTCTGTGTGTGTTTTTACATGAATATACTGTGTGTGTGTGTGTGTGTGTGTGTGTGTGCGCGCACGCGTGTGTTTAACAAAGATCATTTGTTACTATTTTGAATGAAAACCTTTTTAAAGCTTTCATGTGTGTGTGTGTGTATGTGTGTGTGTATGTGTGTGTGTGTTTGTGTGTATACACACACACACATACATATAGTGACTAATGTATAAGATACTGTTGTTTACAGCAAAATGCCAAACTCTACCTAGGTCTAATCATAAATCTGTATTGTCTATTGGATTTTTTTTTTCTTTTCCTTTTTTTTCGGGTTTTTTTAATGTGGACAGTTTTATTGTCCGTAATTTATGGTATGGAAACTAAAACTATACAGAAATTAGATAATTATACAAAGGACATAGTGTCAATAAATGGCAATGTATCCATTTTTCTAAATATCAAATAATTATCAATCCCATTTGTAACAATATTAACTGCCAACTGTCAGCACATGGACTCTTTTTTTCATAGCTGGACTTCTTTCAGCCCCTGACTGTGTGAGGGTCTCAGCATTGGTGATCTCACATATGCCATTCTGTCCTTCTAGAACACTGTCCTCACTACCTTTGCTAGCCTCACCTTAAAAGCAGCTTCCTTAGAAGAGCTTCTAACAAGCGTCCTGCTTAAACTTTATGTCCTTCCTGCTATCATCTTTCTCTTGTGTTACATTTTATGTTACTTCTACACATGTATTATGAACTCCATTATACAAATTGTGGCATTATATGTATATATATTTAGCAGTTTACATCTTTGATATTTGTTCTTTATATCCAGTGCCAAGCATATTGTTTTGTAATAAGGTAATGTTTGCTCAATAAAATGGAAAGAATGTACCTTTTGTTGTTATAGCATGTGTAATTTTCTTTACTACACTTTGTTGACTCTGTGATGTATCTTTCTCGTGTATGTTTTAATGGGAGGAGTCTAAGAGTTTCCATGTTTTCCTGTTATAAAATCCATTTCTTCACTTTTTAGAGTCGTGCTCCGATTTCTGCAAAACTTGTGGCCAATATGCTCTCAGTCGCTGGGGCAGATCACATCATCACCATGGACCTGCATGCCTCTCAGATACAGGTATCAGCATTTTCTTTCTGCTAGTGGTTAAGTCCTAATTCTCTGTTACATTAAATAAATTTTTTTTTTGAGTTGGAGTCTCACTCTGTCACCCAGACTGGAGTGCAGTGGCCGCTCCCGGCTACCGCAGCCTCGACCTGCTGGGCCCCAGCAATCCTTCCACCTCAGCCTTCCAAGTAGCTGAAACTACAGGCCCGTGCCACCATGCCTGGCTAATTTTTTGATTTATTGTAGAGGTGAGGTCTCACCAAGTTGCCCAGGCGGGTCTCGAACCTGCGGGTTCAGGCAATCCACTCAACTCAGCCTCCCAAAGCACGGGATTACAGGCTGAGCCACCAAGCCCGGCTACGTTAAATAATTTTTGAAGGAGGTAACATTACTCATGCTTGAGCTTATATGTGGCTATTCACTGGATTTTCGTCTTACTAAACTCAAAAATAGAATTTTTTTTTGAGTCAATGTCTCACTCTGTCACCCAAGGCTGAAGTACAGTGGCACGATCATGGCTCACCACAACCTCTACCTCCTGGGCTCAGAGAATCCTCCTCTCTCAGCTCCTGAATAGCTGGGACTATAGGCATGTGCCACTATGCCCAGCTAGTTCTTTGATTTTTTGTAGAGATGAGGTCTTACTATTTTGCCCAGGCTGGTCTCCAACTCCTTAGCCTCAAGTGATCCTTCCACCTTGGCTTCCCAAAATGCTGGTGTGAGTCACTGTGCCCAGCCTGGAAATATAACTTAATATTAATACCTCCTCTCTCTGTCACCATCTTGCCTCCAGTCAGTTTTGGAGGAGTGGGAATGGCTTCTTGGTAGTAAGTCCTATGTAATTTCATCTCAACTTCTGGGAAATAATTTGAATGGCGGTCTTAATATACATTTTTAACTTCTTCATAACTTATTTTCTTTGTCTCTGAAACAGGCCAAATTATAATGTGACCACTTTGTGAGATATAAAGAATGTGAAGTATCTGGTTTATAATAACTACTTAAGAAACAATGGCCGGGCTCAGTGGCTCAGCCTGTAATCCCGGGCTTTGGGAGGCCGAGGTGAGTGAATTGCCTGAGCCTGCAGGTTCGAGACCTGCCTGGGCAACTTGGCAAGACCTTGTCTCTATAATCAATCAAAAAATTAGCCGGGCGTGGTAGGGCACGCCTGTAGTTCCAGCTACTTGGAAGGCTGAGGCGGAAGGATCGCCGGAGCCCAGCAGGTAGAGGCTGCGGTGGCCGGGAGCAGCTACTGCACTCCAGTCTGGGCGACAGAGTTAGACTCCAACTCAAAAAAAAAAGAAAGAAAAAGAAACAACGAAGGCCAGGCGTGGTGGCTCACGCCTGTAATCCTAGCATTTTGGAAGGTGGAGGAGAGGGGATTGCCTGAGCCCATGGGTTCCAGACCAACCTGGGCAACATGGCGAGACACCATCTCTACGATTTAAAAAAAAAAATTAGCCGGGCATGGTGGCACATGCCTGTAGTTCCAGCTACTAGGAAGACTGAAGCGGAAGAATTGCCTGAGCCCAACAGGTCAAGGTTGTAGTGTCTGTGAGTGTGCCACTGCACTCCAGCCTGGGTGACCAAGTTAGACTCCTACTCAAAAAAAAAAGAAAGAAAGAAACAACAAACATTTCCTCCACTGTCTTACAAAGCCATTCTATGGCTCATATTGCAGGCTATCATAAGATCATAGAACAAACATGAATTGGACTGGAATACAGCCCTGTAACATATCAGTCTTTTGATTTAAATTAACTTAAAATGACCAAGAATGAGTCTATTATAAAGATTGTTTTGAATCAAAAATCTAAATGTTATTTAATGAAAGCAATTTTGCAAATTTTTTTAAACCTACCACGTGACACTCACTTCTTCCTTTAGGGATTCTTTGATATTCCTGTGGATAATTTGTACGCAGAGCCCGCAGTCCTGCAGTGGATTCGGGAAAACATCGCTGAGTGGAAGAACTGTATCATTGTTTCGCCTGATGCGGGAGGAGCCAAAAGGTATCACGTGGGCTGCACTGTACAGATTTCTCTACTTGCTGATTAGCTTGTCCTTTTGTGATGTATGAGATATGGAAGCATGCTTTATATTACTCAACACTTTATTTTGCTAATGAGCAAGTAGGTATACTTCCAAAGCAGAACTCAGTCATCTTTGCTAACATTCATTATGCATGAAATAAAAAAATAGATACACACACAATATGTATATATTTGTTTTCAGCAAAGAATACATATGTTTTGGGTTTTTTGTTTTGGTTTTGTTTTGTTTTGTTTTGTTTTGTTTTGTTTTTGAGTTGGAGTCTCACTCTGTCACC